TCTGGCACATCCTAAACTTTGAGGCTTAGATTAAAAGATAGGGTTACGTTTTAAATATAACTTCCAGATTTTAAAAGCAGGATTGAAAGGAAAAACAACCCAAACCAAGAGCAGTGCCTAGAGCTCTACAGCCAGTCTCTCACATGTAGAAGGGCAAGGGAGTCCTGCGGGAACAGGGGTGCAGGTAAAGCTCAGACCTGTCCTCTGGGATGAACACACGGCATTTCACAGGAAGGGGCCAGTGAGCTGCAGCAGACTGCAGTGCCCAGGGATGTCTCCAAGCCCAGGCAGACACCCCTGCTCGCTACCTGTCACAGAGGGGCCGAGACTCGGGAAGACCCAGTCTCAACGCTGGGGCCACAAGGAAATCCATCCCTGGTGCCTTCCCTGCCCATCCTGCTGCACCCCAGGCCTGTGCCTGGGCAGCCTTCACTTCCTCTCTCTGTGATACAGCAAATAGTTAAAGATGTCACCAAACTGAGCGGAAGCAAAAACAAAAAGCCACAGAAATTACTTGAGGGCTCGAGAAAATGCCTATTGGTGACAAATTTAAAGAGCATGGCCTGGGCAACGTGTCCAAGTGATGGGAGGTGAGTCAACTTCAAAATATAGGTAGGATAGCAAGGGAAAATATGGAAGACTTAGCTTGTAGGCAATTGAAAATGAGGCTTTTATCAAAAAGCAGCCTCACACAACCTCAGCTAAACATGCCAGCTCTGAATATATTTTAATAACAGTACTTCACTGTTGCAGAATTAAGATTTCTTGACATTTTTTTCTGCCTTTCCGAACTGTGCAGCAAAAGTCAAAACTTCTGAAAAACAGGAAATAAAGAATTAAGATACACACCCACACAGCTTTAATTCTGCCTCCACGGAGCTGGCAGGAGCCCCCAGGAATGATGGGTGAGTGAGTGCCAGCTGCAGCCCGCGCAGCCTGGCAGAGCCGGGCCTGCGGCATCAGGGAGCAGGGACAGGCCCCCGTGGAGCCGGGCTCTGCTGCAGGAGGAGGACGGAAGCGCGAGTACCTGGGGTCACCTCCTTGCTGCTGCAAGCTGGCCGCATGAGCACGGCACAGCGGGAGGGGGGCAGGGGGTAGGTGCTAGAAAGCTGTGCCACGCGCGGCAGCATCGCACCGGTGCATCCGAGCGGTGCCTGCATTGCACACCCAAGGGGAAGGGTGTTAACAGGCAGTCGAGCGTCTCCAGGCATCGCTGGCACCGTGTCTCTGCTCAGGGGTTGTGTCGAAGCGCGAAGCAGTTGCGGGCCGCTCGCGTTGAGCATGAGCAGGGATTTGCCTCTGCCTGCCAGCACATAAGGAAATCCCTTTATAATCCCCTGCAACCACCTGAGCCCCGGAGCCAGGAAAAGCTGTTGATAACAAGAGGCTCTCCCAGGCCCTTCTGAGCCTGTTGGAACCACTGCAGGGAAAGGGGCTCCCCCTGCTCCTGGAGAACAAATGCTCCAGGCAAACACTTGCCAGCAGCAAGGAGCGCAGGGGGATCCAGGTGAGACCTGGGGCACTGGAGATTTCTGCCTCCTCCTCCCTGGCACAGGCACCTTCTGGAACATGAGGCCTCCTGCTCTGCCACGGCACGGCCAGCTTCCTGCTTGGGAGGGAAGGAACAGGAGGCAAATGACCCCGTGTTGGATAATGGAAGTCACTGTTTAGGACACATTGCTGGACAGCACTGCCCCAGCCCGTTGATGGCCTGCTCAAGCCCCGGCCATTCACCCTGCCTGCTGCTTTGTGCAGTCAGGTCTGAGGGCCCAAAACAGCAGCAGGTCACAGCCTCAGAAACAGTATGTTACAGTTTGCATCTCCTTGGTCCTGTTTGCAGCTCTGCTCTCACCTCCCCAGGGGTGAACACTCCAGCAGCCCCCCTTGAACCACCAGCACCGCATCTCTGCTCCTGAGCTCTGAGACTGGAGGAGCATCTACCACCCAGGCACAGAACATACCCAGGGCAAGCTGAAGAGCCTGTCCGTGCACAGAGCCTGTGACGCTTAATGTTAAGGCACTGAAGGACCACTGGCTGCTCAAACGCAAAGGAAGTCTGCCAAGAAACGACAGGCTCAGTCACACGTTTGCCAACCAAGAGGTTCTCTGTGAAACCATGAAAATTTAGCTAAAGAATAAAAGGGAAAGGAACAATGAAGAAGCAGCTGGAAGGGGACCCAATGGAAGAACACAGTTGAAGGGTTTTGAAGGGATGGAGAGCTCCAAGCGGGAGAAGATCAGAAGTACTTGATTTTGTGGCAGAAAAGTCAGTAAAAACAGGACAGGCGAGACTGTGATTTGAAAGACAGCCATAACTTTCAGAAGAAGCATGGACCTTCGGAGGATGCCATTAAATTCCAAGAATGCTCCAGTGCAGCCAAAGAGAAAAAAAAGGCAGGGAAAAGCAGGTAGGTGTTTCTGTTCTTTCAGCTGCAGCCAAAGGTACTTCAAGAGTGTTTCATGCCTTGCAGCTACACAACGGGCCTGTGGCAAAGGACACGGGACAGAGGGCAGAACCAAGGGACACTGCAGTATGTAGCAGTATGTAGCCCTGGTACGCTGGAGAACAAACTCTGGATGATGCTGCAGGGAGCAGTTCCTTAGCATTCACACTCCCACCAAGTGACCTGGCCTTCTGTGAGCGCCAGGTCTTCCACTTGCAGCACCCAGGTCTGCAAAGCCAGTGTGAGAGCGGGGCTCCCAAGAGATGAATACTTTGAGCAGAGGAAGAGAAGACAGGACTCACAGGACTTTGACTCGCCAGGATCCAGTCGCAAGTCACAGAAGAGAATCTTTGGTGGAGTGGACAGGATACACTGACCCCGCTCTCCTGGAAGAGAACAAAACTACGTGAGTGCTTCACAGCCTCCAGGCCACACGGAGGGGACACTCAGCCTGCCCGGGGCCCTGCATGTTACCCTCACCAGAAGGAACGGGAAGGAGAAGGGGTCGACAAGGAAATACCCCATTCCCCAGGCAGATCATGAGATATTCCCAGAACAGCTCAACTGACAACCCTCCACCCTTGCGCGTCGCCCTGGCCCTCGCGCGTCGCTCCCTCCAGTCCTCGCGGGTCGCTTCGGCCCTGCCGCATCACCCTGTCCCTTGCGCGTCGCTCCCTCCAGTCCTTGCGTGTTGCTCCAGCCCTCGCGTGTCGCTCCCTCCAGTCCTGGCGCGTCACCCTGGCCCTCGCACGTCACCCCCTCCAGCCCTCGCGCGTTGCCCCGACTCAGCACCACTTTGATCTCAGTGCGAAGGCCCTACAACAGCCATGCATCAAGGAATTGCGCATGGAAAGCAACAGAGACCTCCCTGCGCCTGCGTGCGCTGCCCTCGGACACACACTCCATTTGGCTGAGTCCTGCTCGTGATGCCCTCGCTCCCCCTTCCCGAGGCCACGGGAGCAGGACTCACCTCTGTTGGGGACGAAGACGGTCTCGTTCTCGGCCTGCACGTCGGGCTTGCTGCCGTCCGAGGGGGGAAGCGCTACGCGGCTCTCGCTCGCGTGGAACTGGCAGTGGATCTGGGCACTGGCCCATGCCAGCATCTCGCTGGGAGCAAAGAAAAACAACATTCATGTCTACACTTTAACCTGGATTAAAACAAGCCAGAACCTTCCTGGGACAGGGTCTCGCTTCACTTGCTGGTCGCGGAAGCCACTCGCAAAGCTCTGCTCCGAGCAGGTCCTTGGGGCAAACCTGGGCTGGGCTGTGCACTCAACGCCACTTCTGCCTCCGCTGCATGACAGCCACCAACATGAGGCTTCACCCAAGGGCTGAGCCCGCAGCCCCTTGCTTAGCAGCGATTTTTTTGAGTCAGTCAGAGCCACAACACATTGGGCACAGCACAAACGCTGCAGAAACACCCCTGCCCCATGCAAAGTCAGAGATGGGAAGCAACACGGGTCAGCAGCCCCTTCCACTGAGAGCTCCCAAGGGACAACGTGGCCTGTGCCAAGTCCCACAGGGATCTGCCACCAAAGACACTGAGGAGAAGGGTCTTGAGAACCAGTCCAAGGCCCTCCTTGCTTGGTGCCCTCCTCATCACCAATCCGGCCATGGACCTGCACTAATGCGAGGAAAGCTCTAGCGGTCCCACGTGGGCCATGCCGGGCAGGAGACTTTTAGCCATCATGAACGAGAAGTGACATGAGCAGCAGGACTCCAACTTCTGCCTCTGGCGAGGGGGCGGCAGCAGGGAAATGGCTGGGCAAAAAAAAACTGGAAACAACCAGGACCTCCAACTCAGGCAGAGACGCAGCTCTGCTCGCTCCAGAGAAAACCTCTCTCGGCTGCAGTGCAAGAATAAAGTCTCACGTCCTACCCTGCTCCTTGCTCTGAGGCTCGGCCGCCCCCGGTATTTAGTACAAACTCCAGGGGCACCTATAGCTGCACCAGAAGCACTGCGTGAGGGCTGAATCCCAGCTTGGAGGCTGGGGGGACCAGGCTGAAAAACCAGCTTGGAGCTGGGATGGGAGAGAATGAGCATGTTCCTTGGCTGCTCACAAAAGACAAGGCCTAGGGCAGGGAATGCTGCAATACCCACTTTTTTTTTTTTTTTTTTTCCTAGAAAGCAAATGCAGATTAAAACATAGTAAGAAATAAAGCCTGGCTCTCAGACAAAATCCAAGCACCTCGGAGATGCCTCCGACACCAACCAAAGCAGTGGGTGCCTGTCACCAACACCAATCCCAGGGGTCATCCTTCCTGCTCTGGATTTGGGCTCTTGGCAGCTCTCCCCTGGCCCTCTCTGCCCGTCCCCATAGGCATGAGGTTCTTCTGTTTGAAACACCACAAGACTCTGCAGTCTCCGTGTGCACGGTATTCCTTATTTCAGCCAAGGAGGAAGCACTGGGAGGAATTCCCTGGAGGCTGTAGGGGAGGCAAGGGTGTCATTTTGCTGTCTTCCTGTTCAGTCACAAGAATTGATCTGTGCCCAATATGAAAACAGTCTTGCATCTCTGACTTCGTTATAGCCTTGACTGTCCCACGGGGTATTTCCCATGGCATCGCTCACATCTTTCAGCTCCAAACCCTTATCTATCTGTATTTTAATAGGTACACTGCCAATCTGGGCAGTGTCTGGTTCCTCTGGTGTTATTTAGCACCACCATCTCATCAGTCTGCTGCATTCCTTTTAGCTGATCAGCTGGGCACTATTTAATCATTTGCCTGTTCTGGCTGCTAATGTGTTGGATTCTCTGCCCTGTTACTACTAACTCCACATGCTGTAATTCTGTATCTTCAGAATGTGGCTTTTTCGTAGGGGTTTCATAAGACTTCTGCTATATGAAAACACACAAGTGCTCTTAAGAGACAGTTTTTTTAGTAATTTCATATAACCTTAACATGGTTACGGTACCTTCAAACGCAGGATTCTTGTCTGTTTGAACACAGTGAATCTTGTCTTCATTTATTTTCAGTACCACATAACAAAATACCCCAGAATTGCTCTATTTTTTAACCACACACAAACAAAATTTGCATGTGTCTTTCTGCCAGCAGACCTTGCTCTTTCAGCCGGCAGGATCCTGCCTTAGTGCTGAGGACACTTCTCCCTTCTCCCACTTTTCCTTACAACTCCCGCAGCCTGCAACAGCCCCTGTCATCATGTCACAGCCTTGTGTGGAACATCTTGGACTTGTTTTTCATATGCCTTACACATCACAATCAAATTCTCTCTATGCCATTTACTTACTACCCTATGCTTCAAATATATGAAGCATATATAGGGTAGTAAGCAAATTCTGCCCTATAAAGCAACAGAGAAAGTGGCCCAAATTCAAGGCAGCTTTCACCAGCCCTGAGAGCTACTCCTTGAGAAGTCCCTCTGTTTACTGCAATGACTGAACCTTGATCTGGCTATTGCTTTTACGCTATAGCTTTATTTTCATCCACCCATCTATTAGATGTTCCCATTTGTCTGATATAGCCTGGACTGCTCAACTTGGTCACATACCCTTTTTTTCCCCATGAGGCAGTTTTTGAAATGCAGAGATGAATCTCCCATTACTCCAAAACTGCTCCGCTTTCTACCTCTGCAGTCCTGCATGTTTCCAAGTAATAGGAGCTGCACTGAGTCAGCCCCAGAACAGAGCCAGAGCTCTGCACCCAGCCAGGCTGGAGCTGACCATCCCCTCACACACTGTCTTCCCAGAGCTGGGAGAAAACAACACTATCACTTTACAAGACAGGGTTCTGGAAGCTAGCGGCTCGTGCCATAGCTCGGCTTGGGAGTTTAACTCCTTGGGCGAGAGAAAACCTGAAGAAAAGATGGAAAGTCATGGAAGCTTGGGTCCCACAGATTAAAAGGTCCCACAGTGGTGATACCACCAGACTGCTTTGCTGCTGCTGAGGGCAGAAGTGGCAACAGCAGTTCCATTGCATCACACTGCAACAGACCTGCTGGAGATTTGTACCAGCACTGATCCTGGAAATGATACCTCCCAGGAAGGACCCATGAGAAGAAAGCAACCTCCAGCCCCCGCAGAACCAGCCAAGGTCACGCACAGAGCAACATGAGGCACAGAGGCTTTGGGTAAATTCTGTGTGGAATTTACCCTACATATTCCCTGTGAGCCAGTACAGGAAGCTCCTCTCTGCTCACCCTTCCTCCATGCCTACCTACAGGCAAAACGAAGGCACAGAGGGAGCTGGGACTCAAGGGCTGGGCCGCAGAGAGCGTCTCTGGTCTCTGACTCGTCCCCTCTCTGGGCTTGCCCCTTTGATGGGCAATCCTGAGGTAGGATCACCCTGACTTGTCTGTGTAGTGCCAGGCATGGAGAGTTCCTTCCAGAAAAGTAGGAAATAGTGACGCTGTGCGGAGGTTGCCTGGTAAGTCTGCCGCACTGGTGTAACCAGACTCCCTGGTTTCATAGCCAGTTTGGCTTCATTTTCTGCCAGTGACTCTGCCGCTGAGGGCTCACTCAAGGAACAGCAAAGACCATCTCCATGAGCATCTTTAACTGCATATTTTCCTCCAGTCTCTCTTGGGAGCAGAAAAGTATGATTGCCTCCCAGATTCAGCCCTGACAGCAAATAGAGATGGGGCCAAGCACCACTTGCACAACGCGCGGGGGCCGGGAGCTGCCCCACAGCGCTGCCGTGACTGCTCCCGAGCGCTGCAGGGAGCGAGGCA